TAGTTGTTTTTTGGCTGGATTGTGTCTCAGAATTTTTCTCTTTTTACTCATTTGTGTGTCTTCAGGGTTGTTTTGTCCATTTGTGTTGATTTTGTGTCTCTTTGGAGTCATTTGTGCATCGCTGTGGTTGTTTCGTGCCATTTTGCAGTTGTCTTATTAATATATTAGGCTGATTTTTGTCTCTTTCTCGTTGTTTTCTGACTCGTTTCTCTCACGTCGTCTCTCCTTTTTAGTAGTTTTTTGTCATGTTGTGCGTCTTGTTAGCTGTTTTGGGTGTTTTGTTGTGTCATCGTAGGTGTTTTATGTCTCCCCAGGTTTCCTTTACCTCATTTTGGGTGTTTTTTGGAGTCATTTGTGTTCATTTTGTGTGTCTTTGTGACTGCTTTGTGTCATTTTGCAGTTGTTTTGTGAATCTTTGTGGTTGTTTTGTGTCTCTTTGTCTCTTTGTAGTTGGGTCGTGGGTTTTTTTTGTATGTCTTTATGGTTGTGTGATGTGTCTTTTTTGTGTTTTGCATTTCTTTGGGATTGTTTCGTCTCTTTGTGTTGGTTTTGTGTCTCTTTATTGTTGCTTTCTGAAGTTAGTTACGTGTCTTTGTGCATCTAACTGCTTTCCTTATGGTTGGTGGCCGTGATTGATTGATTTGTGTCTCTTTGTGTTTTGGAGTCATTTGCGTGTCTTCGTGCTTATTTTGTGCGTCTCTGAGGTGCTTATGTGTGTCTTCGTGACAGTTTTGGGGTTGTTTAGTGTCTCTTTGTGGTGGTTTTGTGTCTCTTTGGAGTTGCTTTTGCATGTCTGGTAATGAGAACTTGTTGGACCTGTTCGTTAATATTCTTAATTCCTCTCTGAGATGTGACAACGTGCCAGTATAAAGCAGCAGAAGGACTTATTTAACTTTCACTGTTTCTGCTCAGTTTTTTCTTCGGTCTGCCTGATTGTTTTGACATTTACAGGGTTGTGGTTTTGTTTTTGTGAACTATAATTACGCCAGAGTGTGTCCTGAAGCCTTTCGTGTCCATAAGAAAAGCTGGAACGTCACCGTTATCCTTCAGCACGGCCGGCAGAGAACAGAACGGTACAGCTGAGCCTCCTCAACATGCTGCTGATCAGCATTATGAAACATCCTGAAGTGATTTCTCTGGACGTGCTACTGTTGCAGGAACAAAACAACAGAAAAGAAAAACACATGACGGGTTTTTTTTTTCTTCATATTTGCTTGCACACAGTTGTTGGGGTTTTTTAGAGAGAGAGAGAGAGAAGCCTCGGAGCGTTCACACCAGCCCTCCGCCACGGCTTTTCTTTATGACTGGAAAGTTTCTGCTGATTGGTGCTTTTGTTTGGATAGCAGTCCTACGCTGGGATCCCCCCTCGCCGCTCCCCCTCTCATTTCCTGTTCGCGTCAGCCAGCCGACCCTCCGAGCGTTCTGCAGGAAACCGGTGATAAGAAGAAAACTGACAGAAGAGAAGAGGGCAGAGGAAAACAGTGGTTTACTTTAGATTCACAGTCACAGAAACGGCACCAGTTTGACCGACTGGAGAACCAGTTTGGGCTGCTTTTGCTCCACTTTCATCTTCTTGATTTCAGAAGTTGATTCACTTACTTTAGTTGTGGTGACTTTTTATTCAGCTCAACAACATATCAGACTTCTCGATGCACTTCTCACTGGCTTGTCGTTGCTTTATGATGCCGTGTTGCTTTACAGACGTTAGATGACGACGTGTCCTGGTGTAAATAAGCAGCTTCCTTGAGGCTGCGCTGAGTGGTAGAATACATTTATGAACATACACCATGAACAGTCTTCTACCAACATTCCTGTCCTGCAACCTGGTCTTCTTGGCTGAAGTAGGTGGAAGAAGTCTGAAAAGAAAACCACACCGTTATCTCTGACTGTGGTTTTGAGATTTTCAAAGCACGCCGGACCATGTCGAACTCGCTTCGTCGCGCTCCCTTCAGAGGACTGTGTTCTCGTACAAACTCTCAGTTGGTACAATAAATGATTTCCTTAAACAAAGTCGGTGTCCACCTTCAGTACCGATAAAGAATAAATCAAGAATTAGCAGTTTTAGGAGTTTAGGTGCCAACATGACAAGACATGGATGTGTTGGGTACCTTTGTATTCGTGCACTTTTAATAATGACTAGAAGGAATGGCAGACATGGGCTGCAGTTGGTAGCATCGTTGCCTCACAGCTAGAAGGTCGCCGGTTTGCGTCCCGGTGAGGACACCCGGGATCTTTCTGCGTGGAGTCTCCATGTTCTCCTCGTGCAGCGTGGGTTCTCTCCGGGTTCTCCAGCTTCCTCCCACACAGTCCAAAAACATGTTGAGGTTAATTGGTGATTCTAAATTGTCCGTAGGTGTGAATGTGAGTGTGCTTGGTTGTCTGTCTCTAAGTGTAGCCCTGTGATAGACTGGTTACCTGTCCAGGTGAACCTGCCTTCACCCTGAGTCAGCTGGGATTGACTCCAGCCCCCCATGACCCTAGTGAGGATTAAGCAGTGTATAGATAATGGATGGATGGAATGGTAGCCATGTCATATACAAGCAATTTATAAATGGATTGTTGTCGAAATTCCTGCAGAAGTTTTCCAGGACCATTGGAGGATAATCCACAACTTGGCAACAAATTCTTATTAGTGGTTTATGACTGATCTTGGAAGCATTAGTACACAATCTGTCAATAAAACCCTTCAATTTAGCTTCAATTTGCTTTTATATGTACACTAATTATTCATAAGACTAACTGTTATCGGTACTCAAAATAAGGAAAACCAGTCTGATGTAGACTCTTCTTGAAGCTAACACTTCATAATCCGGCCACTTGTTCGTCTGCTCCTCCAGGCGGAAAACCAACGACACGATGACGGTGGACACCATGTGTCACCACCCAGCCCTGCCTCTGGAGGGCGTCGACCCCGGCCTGCTGCTGAACTTCACCACCAGAGAGTGTCACATGGTGAAACAGCCGGCCGAGGAGGGCGCCATGATGGTCTGCGGCTGCCACGGCGAGCACGAATGCAACGACAAGCTCATCTTCGACAAGGGAGCCAATGGTGAGCAGAGTGAAGAGGGTCCAATAAATGGATTGTAAATGATTAAATGAAGGATGAAAAGTCATTGTTTCCTCTGTTGCTGCAGGTTTCTCCAGGCTGCACAGTAAAGACGTGATCCCGGTGGTGGTGGTTAGTTTGGTGCCTCCTGTCATGGTGGCCCTAATCGCCATCGCCGCCTTCTACTTCTACCGCATACGGCGCCCCGACAAACCGAGCCCTCCTGCGCGTCCCGACTGGCCGACCAAACGCACCCCAGAGCTGTACCAGGCTTTGGACCTGCCGTGTCAAGGCGCTCGGAGGGAAGGTGGAGATGTGACGGGAGCTGAACGGGACGAGTCCAACGCCAAGGTGCCGTCTCCTCACAGTGACACCATCGGCAGCATGACGAACTGGCAGAGCCACCTGCCCATCAAGCTGGAGGTGCTGGTGGGGAAGGGGCGCTTTGCTGAGGTGTGGAGGGCTTGCCTGCTGGGGACCGAGAGGGGCGGAGTCAGCAGCTGTCAAACCATGGCGGTGAAGGTGTTCCCGGCCGTGGAGTACGCCTCCTGGAGGAACGAGTGCGCCATCTTCTCCGACCCCGAGCTGCAGCATGATAACGTGGTTCAGTTCCTGGCAGCCGAGGAAAAGGGTCCGCCGAGCCACGCCCTCCGGTCCTACTGGCTGGTTCTGGCCTATCACAGCCTCGGAAACCTGCAGGAGTTCCTCACCGCAAACATACTGAGCTGGGAGGAGCTTGTCGCCATGGCGGGCAGCATTGCTAAAGGATTAGCTCACCTCCACAGCGACACAACGCCCAGGGGAGCATCGAAGGTAGAGTGGAAGTCCATCCCTACCGGTCATGATTATTTGAGAACAAATTAAAGAGAAACTAGAACTTTTAATTTGTGTTCTGGAGCAGGAAAACTTCAAAACCTCATTCAGAAACCTTCAGCAGAGAACAAGTGGACTTCTCTATTGGGTTCTGAAAAAATAATTTAACTTGAGCCCACAAGCAGAACCAATCAGATTCCTCTGTTTTGGTTTACAGTTTTGCGGTTTTAATTGTAAATACTATAAGTCTGACTGTTTGAATCCCCTTTTGACTACAAGAAAGATTCAGTTGTACCTATTGCGGTCAGTTCTGCTTTTGAACCTTCATAATAGTGCTGATGCGCGTTTGTTTGTATCGATAATTATTTCGTGATAAATGCTTTTGGACTTGCACCATTAATCTGTGACGGCGCTTGTTGCCGGTTGCCTGTGTTGCTGCAGGTTCCAGTTGCTCATCGGGACCTAAAGAGCAGCAACATCGTGGTGAAGAGCAGGAACGAATGTGCGCTCTGCGACTTCGGTCTGGCGCTGAGGCTGGATATTTCCCTCACAGTGGACGACTATGCCAACAGTGGACAGGTGAAATTAGCTGATGAGTCAGGATATGTTTCAGTAGAGACCTAAAAGCGTATAAAAAAAGGCAAACAATGGCTTAAAAATGATTATATACAAAGCAAAAGTTATGCCACACTCCAGTCTCTAGGGTGAAGGTTCTGTTCCCGATGTATACCTTCTTCCACCTCTTTATATGAACATTCCTTCAACCAGAAGCTTTTCCTACGACACCACAGCGTCTATCATCTTGCCTGGTGAAGATCTTACAAAATTTACACAAGCAAACCCAACAAAACCAAAGTTACTGGGATACAGGTTCAACCCATGTCTGAACATTACTGGGACACAGTTGGTTCACTGAAGCCCCACTCTATGAACATTTGTCCTTGTGCCACTAAGAAGCTGTGTCCAGACCAAAGTGTATCCCACAGTTCAGTTGGTTTCATCTCACTGTAAGGTCAGCTCTGTCAAGAAAGTTTCCAACTACTAGGTTCTGTTGCTGATGGGTACCTTCTTCCACCTCTTTCCTTGGACTGTTCCTCAGCTGTTCCTCCTCCACAGTCTTCGGGAAACAATGTGTCTCTTCTAACAAGAAAAGAGAGGTGTAGTGTAGATGTATAAGAACGGCGTTTTAGGGAAACGAGGTTGTAGGTAATTCACATTATTTTCTGTTCTGGTCGTCATTTGTTGGTTCTCCGCTCTACCTTCCTGTCCAGGTGGGGACGGCTCGCTACATGGCTCCTGAGGTGCTGGAGTCCAGGGTGAACCTGGAGGACCTGGAGGCCTTCAAACAGATGGATGTTTACTCCATGGCTCTGGTCCTGTGGGAGATGGCGTCCCGCTGCCACGCCATCGGAGGTAAGAGGTCCTCAGTGTTTTTAAGTGTCAGTCCATGCTTCCTTATATTTAACATATCCAGCGTCCTCAGTCCTCAGGGAGGTGACGTAGTCTGTTGGACACCAGCTAAGCAGAGCGTTTCTCAGTTTGCACATCCTCGGTTTCTCATTTCGTGAGCAGAGGAGTCATTGTCAGGCCGCTTTTATACGTTACAGCTGCTGATGAAACTTCTGCAAAGAGGGCGTCGTGTATTCAGGTGGAGGCTCTTCTTTGTCGTTGTTTTGCTGATTTTAGTGAAACCTGCTGGAGAGGTGGAACAAAAGAAGAGCCCGTTAATTTAGTCCAGGTCACTTTACTCAAAAGTGTGAGGACCAAACAGAAATCCTTACGGACGTGCACACAAATGCAAACAAGTGACGTTTACCACAGTAGCCATGTGCCATCGTGTGTTTTTATGTGCAAACTGTAAATATATATATATATGGAGAGTTCATTTGCAAAAACAGATAAGTCCATCTTCACAAACCTTCAGAAAACCCACGTCTCCATCGTCTACCTGAGACAATATCAATCAAACTGAAGTTATCTCTGTTTTAGTCAAATCTACGGAAGCCGAAACTCGTTTTCTCGAGATAACGAGATAATTATCTCATTGACAGTTTCAGCTGTCACTTCAGCCTTCATCAGAAGTTGTCGGACTTCCTGGTGTGACGTATCTTATATAGACAGCTGACCGGGAACTCCGACATGACGTGTCATGAGAACAGCTGACCGGGCACGACGACTTACAATGAAGCGCTCGTGCCCGGTCTGGTCTGTCCTCCGGCCCCCCGCTGGTGACTGAGGATGGAATCCCAGGTGTGTGGGAGGTCCCACACACCTGGGATTCCATCCTGGACCGGGAACGAGCGGGCAAACACAAACACCAATTATCTCGTTTTCACGAGAAAACGATTCCTGTTGTCCCGAGATAACGAGAAAATTAATTCGTTATCTCGAGAAAATGGCGAAGAAAGAACAGTAGCGGAAAACAACCGCTCTTGGCTTCCGTACAAATCCACTCAGTTTCAGTTTGATTGATTTTATCTCAAGCAAAAAAAACAAAAAATAGAGTTTGCAAATGAGCTCTTCATATATATATTGCATCACATGTGGTTCATGGAAATCGCAAAATGCAATGAAACTTCCACAATTTTATGGAAACGTTTTTTGAAACACTTTTGAAAAACATTTAACTCAAATCACTGACCAGCTGCTTCTTCAGTTGTCTTGATGTTTCCATGAACAACTTTCCTGATATTTTCCTGAACACTTTCCTCCATTTTTCTTTTGTAGACAAATTCAGTTTTACTTTCTTTCTTCTTCTATGGTTTTTAGTTGCCGGTAAACAACTGGCTTTGTTTACAGCTTTTCTTCGTGCAGCTTAGAGGTTCATGGAAACAAGCCAATTTTTTTTGTGACATCTCAAGAGTCCACGTCAAAATTCACACCACGTAATTATATGGAAACACGGCTTACGTAACTACGTCTTCTCCCACAAGTACCTGGAACTCAGTTTACCATTGAAGTTAATTTTAAGTTTAGCTCCCGGCGCTACAAAGTGGGTAGAAACCCGATGACAGCAGCTTTAAATTCAGCTTTGAGTCACTCGTTTCCAGCAGTAGAAATGATTTGTACACAACCGTGTGTGTTGGTTTCAGAGGTGAAGAGCTACGAGCCGGCGTTCGGCTCCAAGGTTTGTGAGCAGCCCTGTGTGGACAGCATGAGGGACCTGGTGCTGAGGGACCGAGGCCGGCCGGACATCCCCTCCACGTGGACGCAGCACCAGGTCAGACAGCGTTCAGACTCCTCCACATTAACGGACAGCTGCCTTCCACCACGTCGTCCTCTCTTTTTATTTAAGCAGGTTTTGTTTTAAAAGCTTGTGTTACATTTTGTCAGACAATTGGCCCAAAGAAACGTCACATAACCACAAAGACAAATAATCTATCACAGAGAGACGATTAGCTGTAAAAGGACACAAACTGGCCACAGAGATGAACAAAGCAACCACAAGTAAACAAAAAAATACTGACAAAGAGACTTAAAACTTCCCCAAAGAGACCCAAAATGATGACAAAGACAAAGAATCCAAAACAAAAAGAGATAACCACGGTACACAAATGAGATGCACAATGGCCCCAAAGATACACAAAATCACCCAAAATCGACAGACTATTGGCCCAAAGAAATGACAAAGACAAAAAAATCTAGCACTAAACTCCGACAAATATATTCACAACTACCACAGAGACACAAAATGATCCCAAATACACACAAAGCAATGCGCTTAACATCTTTTAGTGTGTAGATCTTCCTCCCATCAGTCTTTGCCGGTTTTATTCACAATTAATATTCTCTTTAACCCTTTATTGGGCAAGGAACCAAATATGGTAACTTCTTTTTAAAAAAAAATAAAGGCAGGATCACGTGACTTCCTCCAGCCAATCAGCAAAGGCCAGGCTACATGACAGCACAGTTGCTATGGCCTCTGACCAATCACGTGTTTATTTGGAAATAAATGTTTCCTCATCTTTATGCGTGTTTTTTAAAGTATTATTTGATTTTTTTTTTTTTTAATATTTTTTATCTCACATGATAACTGTTTTGACTTTGATTTGCAGCTTAAATATGAAGCTTTTCTTTTTTCTTTTTTTTTTTTTTTAAGTCAAAACGTCCTCTTATATCCACCAGTAACACACCAGGGTTGAAATTAAATTACATTTCCGAGTATTTCAGTGAAAGGTTAACTCTCTGGTCTGGGCTCCTTCAGGGGATGAACGTCTTCTGCTCCACCATCACCGAGTGTTGGGATCACGACCCCGAGGCCAGGCTGACGGCTCACTGTGTGGTGGAGAGGTTCAACGCCCTGCAGGAGGCCGAGGCAGAGGAGGAGGAGGAGGAAGAGGAGGAGGCACAGGAAGAGGAGGCGAGGGAGGAGGTGGAAGGTGAGGAGGAGGAAGAGGAGGAAGCAGGAAGGCAGGAGTAAGAAGAGGAGCCTGGAGGGAAAGAGGACCAGATTCATCCTCACTGTCCTCCTCTTCTTCAGACGTATCCCACGATTCCCTGCTTCACACTGGTTGCTTCCTTTTGTTTGTGGCTGCGTTCACACTGTCGGAGAAGTCGCTCCACCTCAAACAGTTTCTGGTAGAAAACTTCACGAATCAAGCTCGACACTGGATCACACGTCAGAGTCAAACTGTTGTCTAGTAACACAAAACTTCCCCCTTTCGTGACCTTCTGGTGGTTCTATCGAAGTGAAAAAATGTGCTTTGAAAAAAAAAAAAGTTGTTGTGAATATATGAAATTTTCATGTTGATCCAAGAAATGCAAAAAAACCCAACTCCTACAATTTTCAATTTGGATGTATCCATGTTTCCTACTAAAAATGCAGTCTGTGGTTAACATTTCACCAACTTGTGAGGCCTCTACCATCAGTAGGATTTGATTTGTGACAAATATGGGAAGACAAGCTTTCAATTTGTTTCTATATTGACCTAACAGCTGTCCAAAATGACCCCAAATTGTCCAAAATGACTTGAAAGTTGTGCAAAATGATTCAAAGTTGTCCAAAAATGGCAATAATGAATAATTATTGGACCTTGAAAATGGGAAAAAAGTGCTAAATTTCCAAACAAAGGTTGTGCTGGAGCCCCAGAAAGTTCCTGTCAGTGTATATAAATATGGATGCTTCCATGTTTCCTACTAAAAGCACAATCTTTGGACGAGATTTCATCAACTTGTGAGGCCTCTAGCATCAGTAGGATTTGATTTGCGAGCAATATGGCAAGATACGTTCCAGTTTTTTGATGTTTTGACATGACAGAATGGTGACGTGGACTCGTTTATCGGAGCATAAATAGAAGTTATGAGCTGCTTCCATGTCGTGTCTTGATGTTGAAACTTATCAGCATATGAGCACGATTACTGAGTGTTCCCAAACGTATACTTCATGACAATTCAACAAGCAAGTAAACTCTGAACAAAGTCTGAGACAGCAGAGCAACACCTCTATCTGATGTTCGTTTGATGTTTTGGCGTCTCTGAGTTCCTGCACATGAACCTGCCGAGCCTCCTTCCTTTGTTTCTCATGGGACAAGAACTCTACCTTGCAGCGGTCTGACAGTGTGAACGCAGCCGACGGAGAGATCATCACGAAGCTGAACGTTTTCTCCTGGATCCTAAGAGGAGAGGAACAAACCAAAGACTGACCTTGTGCCTTAAACAACTGACTCACGTTTGGTGTTGACGACGCCTGAACTCTTCTCACGGTCACTGATCTGCTGGCAGTTTGTCGTGCGATGAACGATTCGTTTTGTCGGAGCTGGTCTCCCGTTTTGTTGTGGTATTTGAATAGCAACTGTGATTATCTTTCCTTATAACCGACGTGTATGAATAATCAGGAGAGAGAGCTCTTTCCTGCCCTGTGGACGGTGTTTGTGTCTGTTTATAAATGCAATAAATTGATCTGTTATGACTCCAAACGCTGAATAATTGGTGTGATTTTCCATTTTCGATCACAGCAAGGCTCAGCTAAAGGATTGATAGTGCATCATTTAAGTGTTGACAAAACATGTACATTGGAGAAGCTCATTTTTTGTCATTATTTACTTAAAAAATATCTACAACTCATTTATTTTTCTGCTGCTTCATTTCTTGTCAACTCTTCAGAGCTTTTTATTTAGATTTTTTTACACACATTGACTCTGCTGCCAAAAAGCTGCTGTCGCTGATTTACTGCAGTCGGTTCACCTTGAAGATCAGATGTTAAAGGATTGTCGGTTCACATGAAACACCTGCCGTCCACATGTCCGGAAGTCAGAACCGATCAAACAGGACATGCTGGGTTTTACCTCTAACGCGGTGAGACAGCAGCTTCAAACCTTTTTCTTTTTTTTTTAACCTTGAGGCTTCTCAAAATGAAAAGTTTACTCATAAACCCACATCACAAATTATAGACGTAGATTAAGTATGGTTTGAACAGAAACCTGATTTCCTTTTTCTTACAAAGAGACACAAATCTACCACAAAAAGAAGGGAAATAACCCCAGAGACACAAAACTACCACAAAGAGACATAAAACAACCACGAAGAGACACAAACTACCATAAAGACAAACAAAACTACAACAAATACAAAAAACCTACAACAGAGACACACAATGACCCCAAAGAGACACAAAACTACCACAAAGAGATATATAATTACCATAAAAATGCACCAATCTACCACAAAAGACACTAAATGACCCCAAATAGATGCAAAATAACCCCAAAGAGACACAAAACTACCATAAAGAGACACAAAACTACCACAAAGAGACACCGACATATTACCACTATACCAAAAATACCACAGAGACACAAAACTACTACAAAGAGACACATGAAGACCACAAATATACACAAAATGACCACAAATAGATGCAAAACTACCACAAAGAGACACAAATCTACCACAAAGAATTGCAAAATTACTGCAAATAACTACCACAGAGACACACAATGACCCCAAAGACACACAAATCTACCACAAAGAGCCACACAGTCACCCAAAAGTACACAAAATGGAATCAAATAGATGCAAAATAACAACACAGTGACACAAAACTACCACAAAAGGACATGAAATGACCCCAGAGGCACAAAACTACCACAAAGAAAAACTAAAATACTACGAATACACAAAAAAACACGACTAAAGAGACAGAAAATAACCCCAAAGAGACACAATGACCCCAAAGACACACAGATTCTTTGCATGTTTTTCCATTTATCTGTTTATTTCCTTCTCAAACTGCTGATTTTAAGGCGTTCGATGGTACAAACATGTTCGTTTTATAGATTTTTCCCCCCAAAATACCAAATTCAGTGTTTTCTGAGTTAAACTTTGGCCAGCGACGCACATATTTCTTTTTCTTTTTCTCGACAACAATTAAAACTCCAACGTCAGAGAGGAAATAAATGAAAGAGAAGCTGAAAACCACCGAATCTTTACAACAATGTCTTTTAAGTCTCTGGTGGGGAACTCAACATGGAACGTGTTCAAACGCTCCTGCGGTTGCTAAACACGACTGATTTTCTCATTAAGGACCGAAAAAAAGTCAAGAACCACAACACAGAGGGAACTGAGGAGAAAATGCTCAGTTATTATGATGAAAGAATGGATTTTGAAACTTGTAAATATAATCCAAAGCTGGTTCCTGGAATGTCAGGGAATAATCTGCTCCCAGATCCATGCAAGCGCTTTAAATTAACTGAATAAAAAATGTAATACTTATTATTAGACGTGATATTTTTAAATAATTGTTACGTTAAACAGTAAAAGTCTTAATTTATGTGGGCAGATGTGAGGCTGGTCGGCATTTCTTTGGTCCTGGAAAAGCTGGAATACAAAATACGACAGAGAAAATCCTGCAAAAACCGATCCTCAGGTAAGCTGGTTTCTAAACAGGTTTGGGAATGTCTGTTTGTGATCAACATCAGAGGTAATAAAGTTCCTAATGCTGGATAAGCAGGTTTGAACCTGTTTGTATCACGGCTCTAACGTTTCTGGTGACTCTTATAAGTCTTAATTTTCTGCAATAGATTCACTGAAACACGTGTTTTTGTCACAAAAAATCAACCAAACTTGTCGTCTTTCTGACTTGTTCCTTCATCAGTCCACAGGTTCTGGATGGTTCCAGTCAGGACTTTGGGGAGACCAGTCTAGAACCTTCATTCCAGCCTGATGGAACCATTTCTTCACCACTTTGATGTGTGTTTGGGCTCATTGTCTGGTTGGAACATCCAACTGTGTCCAAGATCAACCTTCTGCTGATGGTCTGAGGTTTTCCTGAACAACATGGAGGTGATCCTCCTTCTTCATTGTTCTATTGACTTTGTGTGAAGCTCCAGGTCCACTGGCAGCAGAACAGAACCAGAGCATGATGCTGCCACCTCCATGCTTGATGGTAGGTTGTCCTAAATGACTTAAAACTTTTCTAAAATGACAAAAGTCCAAAATTATTCCAAAATTGCTCCAAAATGACTCCAACATTGTCCAGAGCAGCTTAAAATTTGTCCGATGTGACTCAAAAGCTGTCCGAACTTAGAACTTGTCCAAAATCAGCATCGAAAATGACGATGAATTTGTCTAAATTTACTAGAACCTTGTCCAAAAAGACAAAGAAATAGTTCAGAAAAGCTCAAAATTTGTCCAATATGACTCGAAAGCTCCAAAATTACTTAAGTTATTTAAAAAAAAAAAAAAAAAATCCAACTGTGTCCAAGATCAACCTTCTGCTGATGGTTTCAGGTTTTCCTGAACAACCTGGAGGTGATCCTCCTTCTTCATTGTTCCAGTGACTTTGTGCAAAGCTCCAGGTCCACTGGCAGCAGAACAGAACCACAGCATGATGCTGCCACCTCCATGCTTGATGGCAGGTTGTCCTAAATTACTTAAAACTTTTCTAAAATGACAAAAGTCCAAAATTATTCCAAAATTGCCCAAAAATGACTCCAACATTGTCCAGAGCAGCTTAAAATTTGTCCGATGTGACTCAAAAGCTGTCCGAACTTAGAACTTGTCCAAAATCAGCATTGAAAATGACAATGAATTTGTCTAAATTTACTAGAACCTTGTCCAAAAAGACAAAGAAATAGTTCAGAAAAGCTCAAAATTTGTCCAATATGACTCGAAAGCTGTCCGAACTTAAAACTCCTCCAAAATTACTTAAGTTATTTTTAAAAAAAATAAAAAATCCAACTGTGTCCAAGACCAACCTTCTGCTGATGGTCTGAGGTTTTCCTGAACAACGTGGAGGTGATCCTCCTTCTTCATTGTTCCATTGACTTTGTGTAAAGCTCCAGGTCCACTGGCAGCAGAACAGAACCAGAGCATGATGTTGCCACCTCCATGCTTGATGGTAGGTTTGGTGTTCTTGGGGTTAAAGTTCTC